AAACCCCCCCCCCCCCCCGTGCACGCCGTGTATCGTTCACGTCGCCGTTCTTACATCCCCCCTGCGCGCGCGCTAAAAATAGCGCACTTTCAAGATAATGAGGTAAATGTTTCTCGCGCGCCCGCTCACCGCTCCGCTAATTATCAAACGATATCCGGTGCGGATAAACAGCATAGAATTTTTGCGATTCTTCCGGTAATCGCACTTGTGTGACGCGAATGCGCGAGCGAGCGAGCGAGCGGGTGAACCCAGGCTATAGTGGAAACTAGTTTTCGGTCAGTGAGACGCGACGTCTTTTTGTCCTTTCCTCCTCGGGCGAGCGTGGAATGCGAAGCATAGCAAAAAAAATACACTCCGCGGGCGCGCGCATTGCGATTGCGCTATTATACCGTCGCGCTTTTCCGCGATGTCGTAAGGGGGATCGCGTGTCTGTGTGTCTGCTGTGTGTGTGTGTGTGTGTATGCGTGTATGCGCAACGCGGGCGCACTCTCGCGTGCGAGCGCGGCGAATCGAGATTTAGCTGGAAATTTGCTCGAAATACACATCGGTTACATAGCATGTAGCGGGGAGGGTCGTCGACCGGCAGCAACGGCGGTTACGATATTGACGAGAAAGCCGCTATTTCGGGGAACGATTAATTGCCGGCCGAGGAGGAACGGCGACTCGCGAGAAACCGATAAATATTCAATCGCTGCTCCGCGGCGGCCTCGTCGCCGAGATTGCTCCGCTGATCGTCCTTCCGGATTAACCGATCGAATTGACCGAGCGCGATGGGGCGAAATAAAATTACCGGCGCATCCGCCATCTCCCTTCAGGTAAGAACGGACCTCAGGTCTGACACGGTGTTCGCGAAATCTCGCCGACGGGTTACCTGAAATCGACCGGCTAATCTGCTGCGCTGAGAAGAAAGTGTTTGATATAAAAAATGAAGTGATTACAGCCGGGGAAATTATTTTTATATTATAGCGTTATTATAACACAGTGATAATTATGCTGAAAAATAAATTTTATCCGATCTACGTGAGAACGGACAACCAAATATATTTCGATTGAAAGAAACCAAATTTTTGATTATAAGAATCAAATTTGGTTCATGCGAACTAGAAATTTCGTATCCTTCAACCGGAAAACGCCCTTGGTTGTCCATCTTCAGGTAGATCCGACTATTTTTCAATGTGCACTTCATCTCTGCTTAATCTTATTCTTACTTTCTGGACGCATTTAATTGCGTTGACGGTCACTGGCGGTCGGCGCTATGATATCACCGCTCATTAAGTTAAGTATGAAGTATGATTAATTAATTGCACTTGAGAAACCATTTCTACGGCCGGTAGAGAGCCGATGAAACAAGGCAAAAAGATATATACGTGTCCCTGATGGCATATATTCGTCGTATCCTTGACAATTCGATCGTCAGTTCGGTTTTCATGCGATCGGAGAAAAATCAACGCGGCGGTCAACGTGGTTGGTAAAAGTGGGAACACACTTGCTCTTACCATTCACCTCTTTCTCTCTCTCTGTCTCTCTCGTAACGCCGAAAAACGGCGTTAAAGTGCCGAAAAAAGTGGCTGTAATTTTAGTGAAATCGATATCTCCTTTCTCAGCGCGAGCGACGCGCCAAGCGTGAGTTCGGTGTGAACGCCGCCTGATTAAGGCCGGCGTCGTCGTGGTCTCGCGGACCGGTGCAGCGCGTCTCTTCTCTCAGTCTGATATTTACGCTCGCGCTTCGAACGCTTTTTCGTCTGGTGTGCTGGACTCGGTGGAAAAATCGCCAGCCGGTACCGGCTCGCTCGTCCTCCCCCGACCTGATGGGAGCCCCTGTGTCGCCGAGTGCGGAGTGCAACGGTATCGTCGGTGCATCAGTTATTTTTCATCGAGGTACATCGAGCGAGTGCCCCGTCGCGCCTAACAGCCCGTCGTCGGCCGGCTCGTAAAACCGGGATTCCGGTTCTACGTTTCCGATCGGCGATCCTCGCGCGCTCGCTGCCTTCGCCGAGAGCTTCGCGGATTAAATCGCTTCGCAAGGGACACGGGATGCTCTCGGTCAGTCGAAAGTAACGGCCGGTGAGGCGAGGGAAAATATTTATTATGCGCCTAAAGAGAAAGGAGAGAAGTGAGAGAGAGAGAAAAAGAAAGAGAGAGATTTCGACGTAGCATCGAAAGATATCACGGGAGCCCGACGCGAAGGAGAGTCGCGACAACGAGTTCACGGCGAGGTATCGAATTCGCAGTGATTCCGCGAGGAGAATCGATCGATCGCGAATCGTCAAGATACACGCGACAGGGAACATCTACGACGGGAAGCGCGACGCGTGCCGTATTTGCGTGCGGCCTTGGAATTTCGTCTTCCTTTCGCGCGCGCGGCTACGCCTTCCACGTCGCCGTGACGTCGGCGCGCGCGTAATGTATTAACCAGTGTAAATACGGCCGCGAATTGTAGCGTAAGCGCGTATTACCTACGCGAGAGAAAGAGAGAGAGAGAGAGAAAGAGAGACGACAAACAGTGCTGCGGCTGCATTGCGTAACGCGAGAAAAGCCTCCGTCGTCGTCGTCGTCGTCTCGCGTTCGCAACGCGCCACGCCCGTGCGTATTGTGCGTCGCGAAATAGAATCCCGCGCGTGTCAATCGGCAATCGTTGCTGAAAGTCTCGTCAGATTCGCGACATCGCACTCGATGATGAAGATCCAGA